TTTATCCTGCTGCTGAACCAAGTGGCTATTTTTCTTCCTCTCAACTTATCCCTACATACTTGCAAAGCCCTGGCTATGATTCCATATAGTTGCTGGCTTTAACACCTTCCCACACTGGCTCTTTGACCTCTGCTCCTCCCCCGTCCCACCTCCCCATCCATTTTTTAAGGTGCTGTGTAGAAAATAGGGAAATAGCTGGTCTTATTTAATAGCAGAAAAGACAAATTAAAGCAAATTTCAAAAATAGTGCTGCAAAAGCATTTACCTTTCAGACATAGGTGAAATACCAGCGATCCCTAGAGATAATTCAGGCTTATCTGGAACAACTTTCTTACTTTTCACCTTGAAGTAAAATATGAAAATATTGATCACAGGCAAGCATATTAATTTTGCTCTTCACCCTGATATGAATAAAAGTGACATAGGATCCTTCACCTGGTCCTGGAAGGTCTCAAAACATTCACAGAATGACAAAAGCAGTTTTTTACTGTTTGTGTGAAATTCCTATTTTTAGTTTAACTTAGCAACTCAGTGTGGCATTCCTCTGCTCATATTCCCCTGAAAGGAAACTGGTTCTAAGAATATTGCTTGACTGTAATTCCATTTCAATCACATATAAGGTAAGATTATGAATTGTGTATAAGCTTGTTAGTGAGGTATCCAGCTATTTTAGCTCTTAAAAAATCAATATATTCACTGAAATTTTCAATGAACACATCACAAGCCAGTATGTCAAGAGTTCTAGCTGTTTTTTAAATAAGTTATTAACTTTGACTACCACCTTGTGGTTCACTCTAGTATTACATAGTTTTAAGTGTAGCTATCCCACAAGGACAGAATAGCACACTGGATGCTATTCTGTAACCAAAACCAGAGTGGCATGAAAATGAAAAGAACAACTCAATCTTGGTGAAAACTTCCAAGGAAAAAATTATAAAACAGAAATGCTAATCTGGAGCTTTCACAAATACTAAAATTTTGATGACATAACATGAAATAAGTAACACATGAAGCAGCCAATATGTATTTAATAGTTCGGTGTTCCCTGTGTGCTTTATATACTTTAACGATTTCCAAGTAATTATATAATGCTTAAATTTAAAGTAATTTCTTCTAACAGTATAAACATGTTTGAAAGAAGGAATAATTTACAAATGTTTGGGTTTTTTTTTCATTTTATCTCTACTTCGTTTCATATCTTACCTCCCTTTTATATGCTGGCATCTGTATGCCCGTTTGTGCTTCATTTAACTCTTTCAATTTGCTTTTCAGACTTCTTATTTTATCTTCTTGGTTGGAAATAATAGAGATCAGCTTCTTTTCTGTTTGATTATTTTTGTCCTCAAGTTGCTTCAATTTCATGCTCTCACTTTCTAACTCTTCCTAAAAAACAATTTTAGAAACACCAGTACAATTAATAGAACTGAGCCTTGTGGAATATCACTGTTCAGCAGTCTGGAATAAGCTAAATTAAGCTTTTGCAACATAAGTAAGAATCAGTCTTATTTATGACATTAATATTTTTAAACTGATAGTAAAGACCTTCTACCACTACACACAGTGGTAACTCATCATAGACAATTACTCAAAAGAACTGTATGTTCTGAATTTCTGAAACTCATATTAGTGTTTGTAACAAATAAAGACATTCTCTTGGTTTACTTACTATATAATTTACATTAACATTTTATGTACAATATAGTGTATGCACAATATATAAAATAGTATTAAATTAATTTCAATCTTAAAACAATTTTGAAGAAGGTTATATTCTGCTTAATTTTTGAACAGAGCCAATAATAGAATCATAGAACCACAGAATCACTAAATATCTCAAGTTTGAAGTGACACATAAGGGTCACTGAGTTCAACTCTCTGCTCCTTGCAGGACCACCTAACACTAAGCCATATGACCAAGAGCATCGTCCAGATGCTCCTTGAACTCTGACAGGCTTGGTGCCATGACCACTTCTCTGTCAAGCCTGTTCCAGTGACTGACCACCCTCTTGGTGAAAAACCTTTTCCTAATGTACAACCTGAACTTCCCCTGATGCAACTTCATTCCATTTCCTTGTGTCCTATTGCTGGTCACCAGAGAGAGATCAGCACCTCCTCTTCTCCAAGCTGACCAAGCCAAGTGACCTCAGTTGCTCCCCATTAACTGTTGCCCTTGAGGCCTTTCACCATCTTGGTCAACCTACTCTGGACACACTCTATTAATAGTCTGATGTCTTTATCTTACACAGAGGTGCCCAAAATGACACACAGTACTCAAGCTAGGGCTGCAGCGTAAGGTGGACAATCACCTCCCTCAGCTGGCTAGCTATGCTGTGCTTGATGCACCCCAGGACATGGTTGGCTCTTTTGACTGCCAGGGCACACTGTTGACTCATATTCATCCTGCCATCAACTCAACCCCAAAAATCTCTTTCCACAGGGGCTCTCTGGCCTCTTGTCTTCCAGTTTGTATGTATGATCAGGTTTACATTGCAAATATTGCAATACTCTAAATTTAGATTTGTGAAATAAAAAGCAGCGGCTGGCCCCACTTTAACTATCTATCTCATAATTCATGAAATTTTTATGTATGTGGGCTTTTTGGTGGAATGAAGAAGAATATAACGTACTTCTTTTTTCAATATGCACAAAGATAGTCCTTGGATAATTTTTAAGAAACAACTTATGATAAAAAAACTGTGGCTATGAAAACCTTATAGTTGTCAGTTTATGCAATCTATAGAAGCACTCATCTTGAACTGTGTTGAGTGTTACAAAATGTGGCCTGAAGCCCAATGTCTGTCTCTGAAAGAGAAGTAAGCCCAAAGGGTTAACTCTGCAAGAAGTAATGTAGATAAAAAGCAGTGATAAACTCTGTAGGCAGGTAGTGCAAGGTGAAAAGGAAAGAAGCAAATAAGTGCTTTTTCAAGAACACTTGCTTTATTTACAGATGTGACCTAAATTGGGTGAGGTTGTGCATTTGGCAATTAGGTAGGTGTACTCTTCTAGACAATGACAGCCATGTAGGGATGGGTCCAGAGCTGGTCTACAGAGATGCTGGGAGGTTAAGCATGGATGTGTGTATATGAACTGATATGATAGTACAGCCTCAAGAAGTCGTAGTAGCTGGATGGAAAAAAAAAAACCAAACCTACAGAAAATGAGCTTTGAAGGAATTGTTTTTTTTCTTCAGTCTCAATTGTGTCTTTGAGTAGTAAACCTATAGTAAGAGCTCCAAAGCAACTCCAGACTTGGATGGTATCTCAAAGGTCCATAGTAAGTATCTTTGGCTCAGTATGTTCAAAACAGTGTCTAAAAATGGGATGTTTCTAAGGCAGCAAAACTCCTTAATCCTAACCCTTCTTCCATGCTTTGCACTTCTGGCAGGTGGGGTAGGGAATATATGTATAGAACATGGAACACTTTGTACACTCTTGTAGTGTGGAATTTGTATACATCATAGTAGATAAGAATCCAGGGAAGCAGTTTTAAAAAATCCAAGTAGCAAAGAAGAAAAAGAGGAGAAAGATTTTTTATTATTTTTTAAATACATATAGTTCTAGATAAAAACCAAGCAAAGAAGACTACTGAAGATTCTAGGCTAAACAATCATAGAATAGTTAGGGTTGTAAAGGACCTTAAGGTCATCTAGTTCCAACCCCCCTGCCATGGGCAAGAACGCCTCACACTAGACCATGTCACCCAAGGCTCTGTCCAACCTGGCCTTGAACACTGCCAGGGATGGAGCATTTACCACTTTTTTGGGTAACTTGTTCTAGCGCCTCACCACCCTCACTGTAAAGAACTTCTTCCTTATATCTAACCTGAACTTCCCCTGCTTAAGTTTAAACCTATTACCCCTTGTCCTATCACTACAGTCCCTAGTGAAGAGTCCTTCTCCAGCATCCTTATAGGCCCCCTTCAGATACTGGAAGGCTGCTATGAGGTCTCCACGCAGCCTTCTCTTCTCCAGGCTGAACAGTCCCAACTTTCTCAGCCTGTCTTCATACGGAAGGTGCTCGATTCCCCTTATCATCCTCGTGGCCCTCCTCTGGACTTGCTCCAATTGCTCCATGTCCTTTTTATGTTGAGGACACCAGAACTGCACACAGTTGTCATATGTCATAATCTATAACTGATGCTAAAGCAGCTAGATTTCTCAAATGGCACAAGAAGAACAGTAGGAAGAATTAAAGTACTATGAAGCACAGAAAGTTGAAAGCAAGTTAAGGAAGTATCTGATCCATGAGAACAGACAATCGTATCTAGTGCTGCGGGAAAAAAATACAATTTGTGTTAAGAGAAGATGGAGACATGCATAAAAGTATGCTTAACAGATCTGAAGAAAATTATAGCAAGGCCATATGCTGAACATAATTTTATAACTATACCTTTTCCATGTTCTTTAAAGACTACAATATAGTATGGGGAACTGCTTTTTTGCCATTCCAGGAATGGAAAGGCAGTGATATTCTATAGTGTAGGTTCACAGACCCCAAGCTACCACTGAGCCATTATTTGGTCACAAGGTTCCCAAACATTAGAATCAAAGAATAGTTTGGGTTGGAAGAAACTTTTAAAAGTCATCTAATTCAACCTCCCCCTGCAATGAGCAGGGACATCTTCAACTAGAAAAGGCTGCTCAAGAGCCCCATCCAACCTGATCTTGAATGCTTCTGGGGATGGGGCATCTACCACCTCTCTGGGCAACTTGTGCCAGTGTTCCACCACTTCATTGTAAAGAATTTCTTCCTTTTAGCTATGTCTGGCCATTCGATGGTCAAATTCCACTTCCCATTTAAAAAGCTAATGGGACCCAGTTTCTCCTTTGAAAATGATTTGCTGGAAATTCAGACACCTAGGAAAAAGCTTATGTCAAAGATGACACTTGCCCTTGAAGAACAACTCTGCCTTAAAGACAGTAAAATAACTCACTGAGCCTGTGATACAGCATTGGTCCGTACACACATAATTTATTTGTTTGTGACTATTACAGCTCCAAATAACATATGTGGGCTTCTAAAAGCTTTCAGATAACTGGAAGGACTGCAGTAATGTGCAGTAGTTCTCTTTCCTTTCTCCTACATTCTCCTGCAGGAAGTGGAGACAAGATTTAAGCAAGCAGTGAGAAAAGCCATGTGGGAACCAATGTGAGAAGAGCCATGCAACATGTTGTAATGAAGATATATCAGTACCTAACTGACGTAAATCATCATTCTCATGCACTGTCAGGATACACCACCAGGAGAAACACTGGAGAAAACATCTTTTAGGATCTTTCAGTAACACAGCCCTTCATAGCTTGATGATCTTACAGTTTCTAGTACTGACTGAGTTTGGGTATTAGCAACAATGTGGTAAGATTTATAAACCGGCTGAAGTTTATAAAGCTAATGCTGTAACAATGAAGTATATCACATGCTCTGTACCTGCCCAGTTAATTACTTGATCATACAATGGATTTTTTAAGCATGCTGGTATTAACAGCCAGCAGAGTTTACATCTGTATTACGAATAGATCTGTGTTTTTTCTTTGGGAAAGGCTTTATAGGATCAGAGAGGAATTCAAGCTGTAAGGGAGTTCAAGGGTTCTCTAGCTCCTAATCAAAGCAGGAGCAGTTATGATGATCAGGTTACTCAGTTTGGCCTTGAACTCCCCAAGGATGGAGACTATGCAACCTCTACGGTCAACTCTTTCTAATGCCTGGCTGTTGTCATGGTGAAAAGTTTTCATATAGGTACAGACTGAACCCTTCGTGTTTCAACTGCCCATTGTCTCTCATCCTCTTGCCATGCACCAAGGTTAAGAGCCTGGCTCCATCTGCCTGTTAACCTTAGCGTAGTTATTAGAACACTATTAGCTTCCCCTGAAGCCGTATCTGCTTGGACATGTCCAGTTTCTGCATCTTCTTCTCATGGGGTATGTATTCAAGCTCCCAGCTATCTCAGTGTGGCTTCTGCTGAATTCACTCTAGTTTATCAATGTCTTTCGTGTACTGAAGAACCCCAAATCGAATGTAATATTCTAAATGCAGTCCAATGAATGCTGAATAGAGGGAAATACTCACTTCCCTGGGTGTGCTACCTGTGCTCCTGTTAATACAGCCCAGGAAGCTGTTGCCCTTCTTTTCTGCTAGGACACACTGCTGGCTCATGTTCAGCTTGCTGTCTAACAAGACCCCAGCTCCTTTCCAGCAGCGCTTCTCCACAGCCAGTCAGTCCCCAAACTGTACTGCTGCAAAGGCAGGTCCTTTTATTTTTAGTGTTTCAATGGCTTACCAGAATAAATACGTGGTCAGGTGGCTTCACGGAAGAATACTATTCAACTGAGGTACTGCAAGTGGTCTCAGGGAATATTAACTGTAGCTTTTAACAGTTTAAC